GGCGTCGGCCTTTGGTGCGGTTAACCACATGGTTCCCTAAAAGGATGTGGCTGGTTGAGGCCATTCCCTGGACAAGTTTGTTGCGAGCCATGGACCTTTGGTTCCTCGAACAGGAGGCCTGGCCGCAGCCAATGGTGAGCGAGGGTACTGCCCCCTCTGGGTAGGTGAACTCCAGGTTGCTACTACTGGAGGCAATTTCGAGAGTGTGTCCGCTGCGGGCTACGTGCCTCGGATCTCCATGGCAGAGGTTTGGGTCATAGCCATGGGTAGACGTGGGTGCTGGCCCTTTGATGCTGATGAACTCAGTTTTTGCGGTGGATGTGGACGCCGTGGGCCATTCCACCATCGAGTCCACCCGCAGTGCGAGGAGCCATCGCTTCCTTCTCAACAAACGAGAGTGCGCGACTGTCCCCTACCGGGCGGGGAGAGGTCGTACGTCTTCCAAGTGTCGTGTGCTAAGGCAGGTGGAAGGGGTCGGGGATGACCCCGGTCTTGGCGCCCAGCCCGCTTCGTTTGGCTTTCGTTGGGCCTCGGTCATTCGGGCCTTCGCCGACTGGCAAGATGTGGGTCACGTGGCCTGTCAACTAATCGGTGCCCTAGGATACCTCGGGGTTATAACCCCAACACATAGTATCTCCATGTCCTCCATGCGCAGCTCCAGGGACACATCTATATCATTGCCTGGCTGCATAGGTCCAGAAATAATCATGGTCAATAAAAGGTACCTGCGCTTCTGACATAGCCAGGGAGGTAGGTTGTAGATGGTGAGGATGACCGGGCAAGTGTTGTGTGAGCTGCTGAGGTCACCAAACGGATTCATCCCATCGGTACTCAGCGCAAACCTGATGTTCCTTGCCTCGTCGCCAAACTCCAAGAACTTGGCGTTGAAATGCTTCCACTACTTGCCATCGGAAGGGTGCCGTAGCTTGCCATCGTCCTTCATGCGCTCATCAGATGCATGCCAGGACATCAGCTTGGCATCCTCGGGGTTCCCGAATATAGCACGTAGGTGATCGATCACGGGCAGGTGCCACATCGATAGGGCCAGACTTTTCCTCTGCATGTAACCCTCTTCTTCCTCGTCCTCAGGAGACGGGATCTGCTTCTTCGCGGTACTCTTCTTGGCCGTCTTCTTCTTCTTCGGTCCTCTCTCGTCGTCTGCATCCACGCGACAACCGACATTCCTCTTGTACCGACTCGCACCACAGTGCGGACAACTTTACAAGTTCTCATACTTGCCTCGATATAGGATACAGTGGTTACGGCAGGCGTGGAACTTTTTAAGCTTCATCGCCACTGGCCAGATCAGCTTCTTCGCCCAGTAGGTATTGGCGGGCACCTTGTTACCCTCTGGGTGTGTCAGTAAGGATACGTAATAGGTCGTTGAAGCTAGTGTCTGACCAGCCATGGCGAGCCTTTAGCATCAGCATCTAGAGGTTAAAACACAGCGCCGTCCAGTGCTTCGGATAGTCCTTATAGAGGGGATCAATTGCCTCCTGCTTCATCTCTTTGAAATTCACCAGCCACCTCGGGCTCCCAAACAAAATATCATCGTGGTCAAGACGGTTCGCGATTGACTAAAAAAGCTCAGTGGTCTTGGGATCCCTCACAGGCTCACCGCCATCCCCATCATCGTCGTCAGCCATGTCTTGGAGCAGATGATCCATCATGATATAATCATGATCTGTATTATTGCCAGTAGCAGCATTGCCGTGCCCGTCGGCCGCCGCTGCTGATGAGGTTTGTTGTTCGGCATTCACCGCCACCATCGTCGCTGTCGACGAGTTCCCTCCTCCATATGCATCGGCACTCGGATCCTTTGCTTCCCCATGAAACTTCCAGGCGGTATAATCCTTGATGAAACCATACCAGACCAAGTGAGATTTCACCGTGTCATCTCCGTTGGCAAGAAGGTTCTTGTAGCTCTTACACGGATAGAGCATGTGTTCCCACTTCAGACTCAGACGATGCCTTTTCGCAACGGTAATAAATTTTATCACATGATCCAGGTAAGCTTGTTCCAGCCTCGATGTCTTGTACATCCATTCCCTGTCCATGACCTTGAACACCTTCCACACACAAACAGCGAAAATGGCGCATATAAGCGGAGCAGTACGAAAAAAAGACAGCCGGGCAGCTCTAGATCTGATTTCTCTCTCCTTCATATAAATCTAGATCTAGATCTTGAGAAAAAGCACCCAAATCATGGAAAAGAGAGAAGATTGAGGGTTTGAGAGCGAGAATCAACCTCTTGCGGTGCCCCCCGTTCAACAAATCCAAGGGCAAAACCTCCCCCCTAGAAAATGGCACTTTTTAGGGTTTTGAGGTCAAAACCCAAAAAAATGGAGGAGGAGCCATGGGAAAGAAGAGTGGGTGCGGCTGTATTTATAGCCTAGACTTAACCGAGACGGGCATTGTAAGGAAACCGTCTCGGTTAATGACCTATTAACCGAGGCGGTCATTTTACAGAAAACGCCTTAGTTAATACTTATTAACGGAGGACAACCGCCTCGGTTAATGGATTAACCGAGGTGGTTGCATAAGGGCGACCGCCTCGGTTAATCGGTATTAACCGTGGCGGTTACGGTACAGTGCCCGCCTCGGTTAACCGAGGTGGTTGTTGGCCTGACTGTTCGGCCTCGAATAACTGAGGCGGGCAACCAGGTCGCCCGGCTCGGAGTCTCAAAGTGAAACATTGCTCAAAAGATTTTCTGCAGTAGTGTTTTTCACGTCCCCGTTTGCTCTCCAAACCTCGTGCTTCCTAGGCTGGTGACTTACTACCAGACGTTGCAAGCATGTATGCATGGCAACTTGGCAAGGCAAGAACTCGCAAACAAGGATTATTTTGGAAGATACTCGATGGAAAGCATGGGCGGCATCTTGATGCGACGTGTTCCTGGGAACGATCGGTGGTTTCTTAGGCTACAGGCCACAACCAGAGCAAGATCCAACTACCGGTCACATCAAACACTGAACACTACACTATCCGTGTCCCGTGTCCTTCAATCACAGTTCACAGCTGAGCTAAAAAGCAATACACTGCTGTTTCGTAGTCCTTGTGAATATCACGTATCAGCGAACCGTTGATTGATCAGAATCCAGTCGAGATCACCTTTTAGAGAAGAGAAGGACATGGTTGTACGCGACCGTAAATTAGAATGATTGATCAATACACAAGATAAAGACTTGAGGTGTTTGGTTTCCCCCTCTTAAGGCTGTGTTTATTTCTCCCTCATAGACTTTAGCCCATGTCAGATCGAATGTTTGACATATGCATTGAATATTAAATATAGACTAATTATGAAACTAAATGTACAGATTGAGACTAATTTGCGAGACGAATTTTTTAATCCTAATTAGTCCATGATTTGACAATGTTGTGCTACAGTAAACATATGCTAATGATAGATTAATTTGGCTTAATAAATTCGTCTCGCGGATTACCGAGGACTTGTGTAAGTTGTTTTATTATTACTATCCGAAGACATCCGATGTAACACCCCTAAACTTTAGCCCCTGGATTTAAACACCCCCTAAATTTAGTCCCTGTCACATCGAATGTTTGACACTAATTTAGAATATTAAATATAGACTAATTATAAAACTAATTGCATAGTTTGAGACTAATTTACGAGACGAATCTATTAAGCCTAATTAGTCCATGATTTGACAATGTGGTGCTACAGTCGACATGTACTAATGATGGATTAATTAGTCTTAATAGATTTATCTCGCGAATTAGTCACGGCTTCTATAATTAATTTTATGATTAGTATTCGAACACCCGATGTTACACTCAATGTGACACCTCTAAACTTTAGCATGATATTTATATTTATGATTAATTATTCTTTTTGCGGTGGACAATGTGTTCGACGGTATCAAGACATTTGAGATGATCTCGTCGATCCCAGTGGATGCATATAGTCCTCAAAAAAATAAGGGTGGGTGTATACGTGTGTATGTGTGTACCGTGTTTGTAAAACAAGAAAAGCTCCAAACTTTAAGAAAGAAACATCGTCCTAGTATCATGCGAGCACCGCATGAAACCTAAAGTTGCAGCAAAATAGCTTGCACGAGAGAGGCCAAACAAGTGTACGTGACATAAACGTACGACACGGAAAGATAGCCCTGCCATCAAGTAGCCACCCCATGCTTTCCAGCTCAGAACAAGGATGAGCAACTTTGAATTATCCGCTCTGTTCTTCAGCAAAACTTCAGCAGTACTTTTAGCGAATAAACAGTGTTTTCTTCTCCCAACAAATCAGTATAAACATCAGCGTAAGCCAAATTTTAGCGAAGCTCCGGTAGGCAGCATTGTCAATACGGTACTACGCTTACCACGGGGAGCTGCAGGTTCACACAGTAGCTGTCCTCGGTACAAAAAATAAACTACTGGTTGCTACTGCTAGTATGGGAGATGCAATTAGAGCACTTCCCAAATAAGTAGTTGCTACGATCGATGGATAAATAATGTCATTTCTAGCTGCACTTTTGTCATTTTGAATTTAGGATTGGGAAATTGATGTATGTCAGTGAAGAATGCAAGTTGACTAATAGCAGCTATGAAGAACAGCACCTGTGCAGCTGCAACATGTCATTTATGACGTTTTTTTACATGAACCTGAAAATCAACAGTATTATTTTGTTCAAAGAACAATCGTCACAAATAACCGAGTATACAGGTTATCAGAGCAGTAAAAAGCTGAAGAACAAAAACAAGGAAAAAAAAAAAGGTCATGTTCGCTTCTCTTATAATTCGTACTTTTCAGCTTGCTTTTTCAGCCGTAAACAGTATTTTTCTCTCACGACAAATTAACTGGAACGGTGTTTCGGCTTGTTTTTTCAGCGAAACGAAAGAAGAAAAAAAAATAGTAGGCATCACTTGAAAAGCAAAACTGTACGTTTCCATCTCAGCCTTGCTTATTTACTACTAGTACTAGTAGGGGAGATGCAGCGGGGATGATAATGCATGATTAGTGTATATGAGACTGAAGGGCTCAATCGTCGTAGTCATGGCGGCGGCGGTTGTTCTTCTCGTAACGCTTGTTCTTGTCATCGTCATCGGAGTCGTCGTCGTCGTTCTTTTTGTAACGTGGTTTCCTCTTGTCGTCGTCATCCGAGTCATCGTCGTCACCCTGTAATTTCACGCAGGCCAATAAACCATTAGCAGTTAAGCTAAGAGGGCCTACAGCTCGAGCCTACGTTTAAAACGGCCCAGATTACGAGTTTAAGGCCCATCGGCCACGCTCACTTTCTTCTTCCGGCCGTAGCTGGGCTTCTCGTCCCCGTACGACGGCTTCGCCTTCCTGTACGCCTGGTCGTCGTCGTCGTCCCCGTACGAGGGCTTCGGCTTCCGGTACGCCTGCTGCTCGTGGTCGTCCCCGTACGCCGGCTTCGGCTTCCGGTACGCCTGCTGCTCGTCATCGTCGTCGTGTCCTCCCTTCCGCCCGTAGCCGTGGGTCTCCTCCTTATGAGGCTGATGAGGCCGCCCCGCCCCCGCGTACCCGCCGCCGCCTCCACCGTACCCTGCAGCTGACCCGTGGGACTCCTCGACCCCGGGCCTCCGGCCTCCGTGCTGCGCCTGCTGGGGACGGTCGTACGAGGAGGCGGAGGAGGTGGCGGTGGAGATCGGGTAGCAGGTCTCCTCGGAGGGTGGTAGCGGGCGCCCGAACGTGAGGGCGATGTCGTAGCCGCCGCCGTACGGGGTGGGGTCGTACTCGTCGAAGCCAGCCACCTCGTCCGCCCTCCCGCCTCCCCAGAAGACGCCCGCCGCTGCCATCGTCGCGCGCTCCGCTAATTCTGCTGGCTGCTCACCGTCGGCGTCTGCTAATCCCCGTGCGGAGGTGGTTTGTGCGTGGTCGGGTGATCGGTCCTGGCTTCCGCGATGGGGGCCGATCGATCTCGGGTTAATTAGCGCGGTGTCCATGCATGGCATGGAGACGGCGTACGTGCGTGCGACGTTTGCGGAGTTTTCGTGGCTGGGAACCTGTCAGATGGAAGCGGGAGGAGCGCTGGCAGGGACTCGCTTGCATGGCGACGCCATGCGGCGTGAGCGCTCGGGCTCCATGCGGCGTGAGAGGCGAAGCCGCGAAGGCAACCAAGCGGTCGGGTGTGGAGGACAGGAAGACGGGGATGGACGTCACGATTTTCCTGCCGAGATTTGGCTATTTGCCCTTCGCCCCTTCCCCAATGTGGATAGGAGGAGGTGAATACTGCATACAGTCAGAGAAGAGAAGCACAGGCCACATACCTTCCGAGTTCCGACCGACCACGAACCACCCACATCGTGACCTGCCGTACTTCCAAATGACCGAATCAATCAACGGCACTCGCTCAAAATCGGAAAACAGCTACAGGCCTACAGCAGATCGAGATCAACTTATGTTCAAAAAAAAGATCGAGATCAACTTGGTGCGAGCGCCATGAACCATCCAGCATTCCGTGCTTCCAGCTGGTGAGCAGTCAGTGAGGAACACCAGACATGGTGCGCAACGACGAACTACGGCCCACTTGAACAGGCCGAGCAAAATGGACACACGTCAGCCACGAGGTGAGTACAAATTCGCAGCACAAGCTGGGCAACCTTTCCCTTTCCCTTTTCAGGTTGACAGCACGTTACATCTGTTGACATTTACACATAAATACCCACCATTTGGTGAGGCACAACGAAAGAAAAAGGCCCCTGTTCTGCCACCCATATCAGTTCCTGGTTTAAGCGTTCCACAGTGCCAAAACATTACTGTTCTGCACAATTCCTTGCATAGATCACAGCCCTCCGTCTTCTTTCACGGGTATACCAGCACTGATCTTCAAATGTGGATCAATGGCAAGCGGCCTTAAGCTTTACCGTCGCGTTGCCACTCTGAAGTGTTGCGCCTCTAGTTGGATAGAGTAGCAAACAGACCAACATCGCATCTTTTTTCAACTTTGAACACATGCTTGCTGTTACTGTACAGAAATAATCCTACAAGTTATGGACGTTGTGCAGTTGCCAATCTCCTTGTCTCACTCATCTGTTTGTTGTACTCTGTGTCTTCGGGGCTAGATTGCTGGCCAAGTTCTTCAACAGTGGTTTTAGTTTAGCCATGATATCTGCAAATGATGGCCGCAACTTTGGGTCCCTGAGGCATGTAGCAAAGTGAATTTAGCAAACAAAAAATGCATATATGGGTTAGGAAGATGCAATGCACCAAGAATGGTGCAATATTTTGTATTGCGCCAAGAAAGTTAAGAAAATACTAACGTATGCCAGCATTGCACTATTATCTCTGCTATAGCAGGATCGATGTTATCTGGGATGTCAAGGCAACGATTCTGAAATCCAACTGCACCGACCACTTGCATGGCATTCATTCCTTCCCAAGGCTGTAGTAGTGTACAAAGTTCCCATAATATGACTCCGTAGCTAAAAACATCGCATCTGCCAGCCCATGCAAGATTTCAGCATGCAAAAAATAATCTCTGATAGGGTTATTTTTTAACCGAGTCTTTAACCACTTACTTTTCGTCCGATGGTTCATTACGAAGTACTTCTGGTGCCATCCACTCCGCCTGCACATCAGCCAAACTATTCAGTAGAAGTAGCGACCAAGGTAGCATTTGCACCAACCAGTGTGACAGATTTAAAATGATATGAATGGATTAGCACAAGTCAACCTGAAAACACAGCCCTATTTCGCAGTGGTTAATCTGATAATCTTATCACCAGAGTCACACTAGTTTCTAAACAGCTAAATGTTTATCTCGTGAACATACTTTAGATGGCTCTAAATCCAAGCAGGATACCATGGCAGGGCAGTGAGTGATGACCGCACCACAAGGGCAGAGATACATGAGATACTAGGAACCTTGGTATATTTCTCGATTAAAATTGGACTTCATCAAGGGTCGGCCTTAAGCTCGTATCTCTTTGCCTTGGTAATGGATGAGGTTACCAGAACATACAAGGGGATATCCTTGGTGTATGTTGTTCGCTGATGATGTAGTGTTAGTGGACGAAAGCCAGGCGGGAATAAATAGGAAACTAGAGTTATGGCGGCAGACCTTTGAGTCTAAAGGTTTTAGATTGAGCAGAACTAAAACCGAATACATGAGATGCGACTTTGGTGGAGTTGTACAGGAGGAGGGGGATGTGAGTTTGGAAGGTCAAGGATACCTTTCGGTATCTGGGATCGATGCTACAGAGGGATGGAGATATTGATGCGGACGTTAGCCATAGAATCAAAGCAGGGTGGATCAAGTGGCGACAAGTTTCTGGCATTCTCTGTGACAAGAGGTTACCACAAAAGCTAAAAGACAAGTTCTATAGAACGGCGATTAGACCGGCTATGTTGTATGGAGCAGAATGTTGGCCTACAAAGATTCGACATGTTCAACAACTGAGTGTTGCAGAAATGCGTATGTTGCGATGGATTTGCGGTCACACAAGAATGGACCGAGTTCGGAACGATGATATACGTGATCGCCTAGAGGTAGCACCAATTGAAGAAAAGCTTGTCCAACATCGGTTGAGGTGGTTTGGCCATGTCCAAATGAGATCTCCAGAGGCACCAGTGCATTGCGGAGTCCTAAGCCAAGCTAATAATATGAGGAGAGGTAGAGGAAGACCGAAATTGACATGGGAAGAGGCAATAAAAAGAGATTTGAAAGCTTGGGATATACCTAGAGATCTATGTTTGAATAGGTGTACTTGGAAAGCAGCTATTGAAGTGCCTGAACCGTGACTTGGGGCTCTTGGTGGGTTTCAACTCTAGCCTACACCAACTTGCTTGGGACTGAAAGGCTATGTTGTTGTTGTTGTTGCTGTTGTTTTTCTCGAACAACGCAGGAAATCTGCGTGTCATTTCATTAAGGAAAAAATGTACAGAAAAGGGAGAGGCAAAAAGAAGCCCCTCAGAACCACACCTCACACACACGAGACTACAAAAAGACGCGCCAAGCTAAGGGACATAAACAAGACTACAACCACAACCAGCCCACCTCCAACCTCAAGGGTTGGGGCCTAGCGACCTAAAGAGGAGCTCGTGGAGGGGTGCCAGCCAAACAACACAAGCTGCTTCATTAGCCACTGTGACAAAGAGAATCTGAATATTTGGTCTAGCATCTTCAAAACAATGGCATTCCTATGTTTCCAAATCACCCAGGTGACAAGGATGATTAGAGAGTTAAGGCCTTTGCAGTTTGCACATCTCCTCAGGGAGACCTCTAACAGCACTGCCCCACCACTGAGAGAAAGTGGTTGTACAGATTTGTGGCGCCACTGCAGACATGTTAAGCTGCGGGTGAGGCGTCCCACGTTTGGCAAGACGGTCAGCCGTCCAACACCGATGATTGATGGCCAACGAAACAAAAAATTTGCATTTAAGTGGAGCCCAACTTTTCCAAATTCTTTTCCATGGGGCAAATTTGATAGTCCCCAAGAAAAAAAGCTTGGTAGGCCGACTTGCTGCTGTAGGAACTAGAAGAGGAGAGTTTCCATCGGTGTTGATCTGGGACATCTTGCTGAAGGACAAGGACATCTACTAAGTCCCGAATTTGAAGGTACTCAGCCAATACTTGCACTGTAAAGACCCCTCTTACATCAGCCACCCAATCCCAGTTATTTAGAGCCTGAACCACTGTCCTTCTCTTGACAATTCTACTGGAGATCAACTTGCATAAATTAAGTGCCAATTCAGCAAGCCTCTCGTGCTGATGGCTTTTCGGTCTCAGTCCAATTTATGGAGGTTACTGCTGTTGACGTACACATAAGTCCATCGAACCTTCTTCCATATGCACCACAAGTCTATGATAACTTCAATGCACCTTTTTGATTCATTCTTCCATGTCTACCCCTACTTAAATGCATGCTAATCAATGTCATGCACTTGCCACCCATCTTAACTCTAGCAATGATTCCTGTGCTGTGCTCAAGTAGTCAAGTCCAAATGGACTTATATCTGGGATCGGAGGCAGTAAATCCTATCACAACAGGATGCCTTTGTAGATCAGGGGGGCATCCTTAAATCTAGCTTATTATTTATCCGTAGGTAACAACTCAAACTAACAAATTGTATGCTTCCCTGGAAGCCCTTCACGTACCGCTGCTGCTACCCCTTGTGTGTATGTGCATGGCCGTGTAGCTCATAGTCCATAAAAGCTTGCAGAGGCCATCGAGTGGGGTTTACCGTAATTTAGGCCTATCTTATAAACAATTGTTGTTCTTAGGTGATATCGGTGCAATAAACCAACTTACAGGATGACAATAAGTCCAACCACCTAGGCCAAAAAGGACACTGGAAAGGAAATCAGATTAAAGCATAAACTGGTATTTTGCATGTTGAGTAGCATTATTCAAACACAGTGTATTCCATAAATAATATTTTTCCTTCACTTGATTACCGAAAGGATTGTTTGCATATTTGATGACTATAGCATCTCTGCAAGAAACTGAAAGTACCACACGATTGTATGGAGAATTTTAATATATTGCAGTGAGGATGTACTTCAGACCTTTGCCATTCATCTAAACCCTGTAACTATGATCAACAATCTTCCTTCCGTACTAGGGCAGTTAAAATTATACCTTCAAATATTTCATTCCTTTTCCATATTCAAGGAGCACGATGGAGTAAGTTTATTAATACCTGATGCAATTGTATTAATATTAACTACATATCAGAAAAGTGTATTCACTGGCAGGTAAACTCTAAATACATAAGAGCTCAGCTAACAGACAAACCATACCCTTGCAAAATTTTCTTAGAACAAATGAAGACAATTTACAGTTTACATGGTTACAGGTAACATTGGAACAAAAGATAATCATAGTGATGCAAGTGCCCCTACACTCTCCCAAAAACAAAAAGTTAGACACACTTCAAGCAATTTGGTTACACCTGCTATTAAACCACAAATGCTTTAGGAGTATGCAAAATACTCTTTGGGAGAGTGCAGAAGCATTTTAGAAAAACTAATACGATTGTAAAGTTATGCAAGCTTACTGTTCCAGCTGTTGATCTTGATGACAGGAAGGTATTGTTCTTCATTCTTGACAAACCAAAATCGCAAACCTAATGACAAAAAAGTTATGTAGCAACTAGTGATACAGATTGCAAGAAATGCAAAATGTCACTGTTATAAAGGAATTTGTATGTTACCTTCACAACCCAGTTCTTGTCCACCAGTAGATTCGGGGATTTCAGATCTCTATGGACTATAACTGGTGAACAATTATGCAGATAATTCATACCGCGAGCCTAGACAATTGAAAGAAAGTTTACTGATAATATCTCACATATACTTCTCCATATATACACCAGCATCTAGAAATAGAGATATTCAAAATTTTCATTAATAATACCACATCAAGTGCCATTCTTAAGCGCTTCCTTTCATCTAACTGGTTGTTGGGTCGGTGAATCAAACGGAACAAACTGCCTCTGCAATACCAATAACAATAGCACAAGTAACTTTCAGTAAATAGCACAAATTTTTAGCAAGGGCCGGAAGCTGCAGCTACATGTCGTGCACGGAGAGTTGAATGAGGTATTCAAATGGGTACGTGTGAACTAAGCTTAAAAGGGTATGTGGATCCTACATAGCTAAATGCATGTCATGCATGTGTTGAATACTACTGTTTCTATCATTGTCCCAAGCATACCTTTTCATATTTCTTAAATCTATGAACACCGTGCGGTAAACTCGGTAATATGTCACTTCCTACTAACTTAATGCACAGTTCTTAAAGACAAACATTATCTTCTTTTTTTTTGCGAATAAAGACAATCATTATCTGTAAAAGGGATCTTCCTATATTCATGCAACTTAGTCATTCCTAGTTATTCAAGAAAAATTGTGCAACATGGAAGATATTAGACAAAAGCTTGTGCTGGGGACACATTGCATTCTAAATCATATGGTAAATTATGTGGTGACCATTGTGCTAGATGCTAGTATATGAAGTAAACAATCTAAATCAAGAAATCCCACCTTGGAAGAAATTCAGTGACAATAGAAAGATTAGGCACACGAGTGATGGCACCCATGAAGAGAACAACATTAGGATGGCGCAACCTCTTCATTATTCGCACCTAGACATGAAGCAATGCATTATCAGGTGGTGCGACAACAATTTAGAAAGAACTCAAACAGTCTCTAATCCCTAAGAAAGGGAGTAAAATTTCAAATTGCAAAATGATTGTTGAGGCTGCTGGCATAATCACTAAAACCTTGATACATAAACAGCTAGAATTTGCATGTTAATTAAGAAACAGTAGTCAAAATGAAGCATCAGAAAAGATTGAGTATTTCAAACCACCTATTGTGTATTTCATACCACTTATCTATCAGCTACAAGCCAAAGTTGCCCTGTGTGTTCAAGAAAAAATGCAGCACTAACTTTTCTAACAAATTTTACAGTAATTTTCAAGTGTTGCAGGTAAATACAAAGAATGCACAATTAACAAAGCCAAATTTCTGTATTTCAGTCCATTTATGTCAGTGGATGGCTTGGCATAGAGAGAGGAGTATACCTCAGTTCTAAACTCTTCCAGAGCATCACTCGAAATATCCTGTTGCAAAAACTTCTTGACTGCAACTTCCTATAGACAAACAAATTTGTGATTCTGTAAACAACTTGGTAGCAGTGAACAAAGCAAAAGAAAAAAAAAATATAGTGACAATAACAAATGGAATAGCTAGAACTTCAGAAGACAGAATGCAACAATGGATGGATCATTGTTTTCTTTTTCAAAAATAAGAACTACTGGCCAAAAATGTTCTAAAACCTGTTAGTCCAAATGATGCTAAGGCCTGTCACTAAGATATATGAGTCACCTAAAGTTGTAGGGAAAACATAAAGCAGCAGACAGAAAAATGTAGGTGCAGTTCAAGTCTACAAATAAAATATTCTCCTTTTCGTTACAAGATTAACTGTTTCATGGTATAAAAGGAGAAAAGCCACCAAGACTGTGAAGTATTTCATTGGAACATTGCCTTTTATTAACTGGTTTTTCAAATTACTAGATGTCTGTAAGATTGGCAAGTAAAGAGGTATTTTATTTCAGTGTTGGCACAGATAATATTGTGATATTATTTAAATTAACATTTCTTCACATCCTTAGATCAGTATACCAAAAGGGTTGAACTTCATATTTTTTCCATAGCACATTTAGAAGTTGCCGACTCAAAAGATAAGCAAGGAATTTTTTGACTGAAAAAAAACTTACTGTTCCATGCCATTCTCCTCTATAAACTTCTCCAAACGATCCTGGAACATAACAGGTTGAATTGAATTTAAAAAACATGAAATATGTTTTTAAAGAAAAAAGGATCAAAGAAATCATTTCCCACAGTCAATGAAATAGTATGATTAGGAAATCATTTTCATAAATAATCAAATAATAAATCAACTTTACCAAGGCCAATCCGTTCACCAATAGTAATTTCTTCCCACTGGATCTCAAACTCTGCAACATCTTCCAAAAGATCAGATTTTGCACTCTCTGTCCCACTTGATTTATTTGATTTATCAGAGGTTCGTTCAGCTTCCTGAGGAACTTCTTGGTCCAGAGAATTATCTTGGCCATGATCAGTTTCAAGGTGGTGTTTGTCCCAAAGGTCATCTCCAGCTTTCTCAACTGATTCATTTCCTTGAGAGGTACTTGGTAAGCTAAGCAGCTGATTACCAGGCTCCGGGTGCTCATATTGCTTGCTAACAGCAGCAGTTGTCGCAACAACTGTGGCTGCAGTGACAGTGGCTGCAGCAGCAACAGGCACATCAAAGTTTACGTCATTGTTAGATTTAGTGGCAGCAGCAACCATAGAGGATGCCACCACTGCAGCAGTTGCACCAGCAGCAGCTGTGACAGGCAATTGCTTTGTAAGTTGGGATGGAGCTTCCTGAGGAGGTGCAGAAGGTTCGTACTGAGAAACAAACGGAGATGCAATATCTCTGATATCATGGGGGTGGTAAATGCCCAAGCCCTCGACAGGCTTAAGTGACTCCAGAGGTGCTCGGTGAGGAGCAACTTTTGGTTGGAGTTCATGTCCAGGATGATGAGGCAACAATGGACCATGACCACGATCTGTGTATTCCCTTGACCCAAGCTCGTTCATCCTCCTTTTCATTTCATCCTTGCTTTGAAACAGGGTGGTGTCATACACGATGAGGTCCTTTGGCTCTTCCATTGAATCTTCTGAAAATAAGTCAGGTGGTGCCATTACACCATTTTCAAGTAAAACCTCATGGATTTTCTGAACTAATTGTGGATTTTCCTTGGCAGCATTAATCATGTACTCTGAAATGTCCTTCACTTTCATTCTCCGGACAGCTGGAGTGCTCCCCATATCTGGCGTACAGGGTGAAGTTGACGAAGAATCAATGGCCGCAGTATATTTTTCTTTGTTTTTTCCAACAATAATGTAGTCTGTATTTGTAGATTCATTACTGACAGGCCTATTTTCACTTGTGAATGTGCTAACTGATAGTTTCTCGAATGAATTTGATAACACATTTTGTTGATTGCTTGTCCGATTAGTTGTAGATCCATCAGTATCAGGACCAACATTGGTTGAAGTGGATCTTCGGTCAAGTAACTCATACTCAAAAGAACCGTACGCTGAGCTCGATACACCACTAAGAGAAGATCCCAACAGATTGGTAGTATCATCTTGGCCAAAGTGATGATTATCAGAGACGAAATTTCTGTCTAATTCTGTGGATAAAACAGTAACATCTGACGGAATAAGTGTACCGGGATCAGCCACAAGATCAACAATAAACTCCCTGCAAAACATACAAGTATTGGTGGTTACTGTATTTAATGCAGAACTCATTTCTTAGTGACAGCGTTAGGATAAACAAATTTTATGTCTACACATAACGAAAGTGAGCTATGTTGTCCAATTCCAGTATGGAGAGACGGGGACAGCACCAAATAGGAACGAGGCACTGCCCTAGGTGCGAGACCAGCACCTAGGACTGTCTGCGTTCCCTTCTGGTGCCATCCCCTCCTCTGTCTGTCCTCTATTGTTCCATCCTACAAAATCCCATATGCAAAGGGTGCAATATACCTTCCGTCTTTAAATTTCACAATGTTCAAAGCTCCATCATCTGATCCAGTGTATTGCTTTCCTTTCAGCAGACGGCAAGGTACATCAAGGCCATCAGCCAAAACCTACATGCAAGCATGATGAGAATTAATTGTTAGCATACTTATGGATTGTCATTTCAACAGACATCATTGACAAATATTATGCCATGTGTTCAGGGAGTTTATAGAACAGCATGAAAATTTGGTGTGTAGAGAACTACATATTCAATTAGAAATATAGGACAGCATGCAACACATTACAGAATATGATTCTCAATGTTCATTGTTGGCAAATTCTGTTGGTAAATAAAGTTCAAAGCTGGTGCAAGAATTACAGGATCGGAGGTTAGGTCAGCCTAAACATGTCTATAAAGTTACTGACCTTAAACAGCAGTGCACGATGACGAGCTAGACCAATTTTTAGCTGGCCAAGTGGCACAATTACACTTCCAATACCATTTCTTAAGTAGCTAAGCATATTCTGGTATTTCACTGACATGCTCTCAGGATCAAACACTCCACCCATGTGTCTAGCAACTAGATTTGCAAGTCTCTTAACCAAAGCATTGCCCACAGATTCTGAAGTTCTCGATTGAAGTTCAAGATTCATCATTAAGGCCTCCTGTTGAAGTTTCATGAGCTCAGGATCTTCACCTCTGTGGACCAACACAGCTTCCCAGTCAACTTTATGTGAAAATGGCTGAGCTCGTAGCTCAGCAAAAGAGGGCATAGTAACTGATGCCGGCCCATTTCCAACATAAAACAGATCATAAAACCCATCCGATATTTTGTCATCATAGCCAAGGGCATTAAAATTCTGTCAATGATGAACAAACAAATATATCATGAGGCACCAGACATATCAGATATATGGTGAGTCAAAAATTAAGTAGGGAACATGAGTCGGTTTCACAAAAACGTCAGTGCGACCCAGAATATCAGCCATCACTATAATCCAGATTAAGATTGATCAGTCATCATAGGTGTAAGAGATGTCATTCATGTCAGCATGAAGTCCCTTTTGCAAGCTATCACGACAACTTTTACCAAACCTTACACAACAATGGTGTACTATTCAACAAATAGAAAACAATTTACAAAATAAAGGCACCTAGAATAGTGATTTTGCTCTACAGAAAGAAACCCTGTTGTCACTGATAGAATAAAGGGTATGCAGTGGGAACTCCATGAAATAATCCATGCAGCTGAAATTTTGTCTAAACTCGAGAGGCAATGCATTCTATATTTCTGATCTTATACTAAACTAAATTACATGATAGAACACTGTAATGCAGCCAGTTGGTAGTACAACCAAGCAAATGGTATGGGAAAAATGTGTAATCCTAAGCAATCGCACGTCATGCAATATGCTCCACGATCACAATTCACAATTGCAATTGGAATACTGCTGTTGGAAGATGAAATTGAACATGCCAAGTACTGAATTGGAAACTGACCCAGTATCGGACCGCGAGGACCTCCGAAGGGGATCTCTGTGGAGGGCAGAAGCCCAGACTGAGCTGCTTGGCGACCTCAATCTCCATCTCCTCCGGATTGTCCCGCGCGCTAATCTCCAGCACCAGCTGAATCTGGTACGCCTCCAGGTCGTCTTCCTCCTTCTCCCTCTCCCGCTTCCTCTCCTCCGCTTCCGACGACTCTCTTATCACCCTCTCCTCCACCTCGTCCTCTTGCTGAGACCGCCTCCGCTCCCGTTTCATCTCCTCCTCCCGCGACCGCCTCAGCTCCCTCAACGTCTCTTCCTCTTGCGACCGCCTCCGCTCCCTCTCCTCCTGCTGCGATCGCCGCCTCTCGACTGCCCCGGACTGCCTCGCTTTCCTATCCTCTGCCCCAACCCCGACCGACGACGCCGAGGACGACGACGTCGGCACCTCTGCTTCGACAGGAATCGGCGGCGGAGGCCTCGTAGGCACCGAGTCGAGCCAACTGGATACCGCCGAGGTCTGTTGCCTTTGATCGTGGTGCGGTTGATGATGATGAACCCCACCAACACCGCCACCGGTACCGGTACCGCCTTTGCGAGAGGGCGGAGGGGGAGGCGATGATGCTCCGTCGCCCGAGCCCTCGCCGATGTGGAGCTTCCTGAGGAAGTTCTTCATGCCGCCGCCGCCGAAACCGGGGTCGCCGTCGCAGCTAATCGCCTCGCTTGCTACGACTGGCGTTAGTGGAGGGTGGGTGGATCCGACATGGCCACTGAGACGCTGAGGCGGAGGGTCGGTTTCTGGTTAGCTTTTTTTTTATCGGGTCTCTGATTAGCTTTTGGCAGCGATTGACTCGTCCCCGAGTGGCCGAAACCGCATTAGTTTAGTCGTTATATCGCTAATCGCAAGCGACTAGTAGCCTACTCCTGCCGGCTTAGCTCGTGCCGGCTCCGTCCCCATCGCCGTCCCCGCGGCGATGACTCGACCAGGCGAAGAGAATTCGAGGGTTTTACCCGAAAGAGAACGAATTGGGGGCTTGCGGTTAATTACCAAATGAAGCTTGGTTTAGCTGCCAAATTACGTCTGCTACAGTGTGTGCAGTTAATTAGGAAAGGTGTGCGCATGTCTCGTAGACCACGGGATAGTCATGGACCATGAGTTTCCGTTGGTCACAGATATCCGCGTTTAGCGTTTCCGTAAGAGTGACATGTGGGGATATAGTACCCGGGGCCCGCATGTCATCAGCGCTAGTATGTGTTTTGCGCCGATAGTGAGATGACCGTTTTGCTCGCCTAACAGAAAGTGATTAGCAGAAAGAAAGAAAGCGCGCTTACACACACCACCGCCTCTAGCTGGCGTGGACGCGGATCACGATCACCTTGTTCACCCACGTCAGCCTAATATCCCATGACATCGGGCCCGAACCACACGGCAACTGGTGGCGGCGGCCGTCGGACGACGACGGGACGAGCAACGTCGGATACTCGGATGAGCACCACTCCGCGGGCCCCACGCACCATTGAGACTTGCACACTACCGCGTGGACCCCCGCTTGGTAACTTTATGCTGCTCCCACTGACACGCTGATCTGGCGGGCCACTTGCCATGCACTGCTAGTAGTAGTGGACAGTGTGCATCGGCCCATTTCTTCTTACTCGCCAGCCACCAATGTCCGCCGAATTTTTTTATTTTTTAGTCTTTTTTTTTGAAAATTTTTCATAAATATGTCTCTGCAGGAAAGATTTTAAAATCTAGACCCTTATCTCGGCGCCATCGTTGCTGACGTTGAGCTCTTGGGCTCAAAGCCAACGTGACGGTGACATGGCAGGGAGCTCGGCTCCCTGCCCGAGCCTTCTTCCTCTTCTTTCTCCTCTCTCTCTCGGTTTTTTTTCTCTCCCCACTTCGTCCTACCTTACGAATCGGCATATTGGACCTTGGAAACTTTGATTTGATCCGTAGATCTTCGAGAGCAAGGTATCCTCGCTCCCCTTCTAGTTTTTTTCGCATCGATTCGGTATATATTAGTCGAATTTTTTAACCTAAGAATCGTCATTATTTAGAGTTTTATTTTATCCCTCGATATTTGTATTATACAACCATAGGATGATGCCAAGGCATAGAAAAGCTAGCAAACATAGGTAACCGCAACGCATGTAGTTATGTTATGGGTTCATTGTTGTGCATCAAATGGGAAACACTAGATTTAGGGTTTAATGTTAATTGATTTCGGTTCTTAGAACGAAATTGGTTGTATTGTAGTTATGATTCTCATTGATATTTATTTGTTATGTTTTGATTTTTGTTTGTTAAATTACATCCCTTTTGTTAGATGTAAGAAATGTATCGGGATGAGTTTTGGCGAAAACGGGGTCGTCCTCGAGAATTATACCTCAACGCGTCTAGCAAAGATGCCCCCGTCCCTCCTGACCTCCCTATCCCTAACTATGACTGGTTTTCCGACCCACGTTTTTCAATCGAAACATTCGGACACAGCGGCGCGGTGCTTCTACACATACAGTCGTTTTAATATAAGAGATTATTTACACTATCTTTTTTCTTTATTTGTGTAAGTATGCTACTAATATTTTGTTGGAATCTCGTTGTGTAGGACTATGAGAGGTGTTTTTTCTTTCAGTGGATCGACGGAGCAGACAAATTTGATCCTAGTTACCTTCTTTTCGACGATAGGTTTAGAGGGAGACATCCACGTGAGCACTTCAAGCGGTGGGTTCCACCCCCCTAACCCTCCGTCAATGACGGCTAAGGAGAAGCACCTAGCCATAGTTAGACGACTTGAGAAACCTCCTCTGTGCGATTGCGAAGATCAAGCTACGATAAACCCTGAGAATACGTTGGAGTTTGTGTGTCCAAACAAACATGAAGTAAATGCAAAGTGTATGTGTTAAAATATTGAGCTATATGTGTTCATGTACTAATGTCACCTTATTTATGTATTTTCAATGGCGAAGTGTCGTTTCAAGGAGTGGTTGTATGGTCCTAAGAACAAATGGCCGGAAAAACCACGAAAGGTTAAGGAAAAGAAGAAAGAAAGAATAATTTACAAAGCACCTCCTGCCATGTGCGAATACGGTGTTAAATTCAACTATGGCCTAGTCCCTTCGGAGCTTGAAATATGCCATTATTGCGGCCATATGGTTGACTATGACGAGGTTGGTTATTTTTATGGTAAACATAAAATCGTATTTTGTTTCTTTTGTTAAGACATATATGATATAATTTTTTGTTTGAATAGAGCACTAGGAAATGTAGCTGGGAATGTTATGATGGTCAAGCTAAGTTCTTGGATGAACTGAAGAGGAGGCAAGTAATTGCACGAAAGAGGGGACATGGACCAGACTACGTCAACCTATTTGTTAAACATCACAAAGAAAATATGCGTGAGTTTGTTAGACAACACGGTATTTGTAACCCGATCGATGTTGGGCTTGACAAATAGGGATTGAAGAGACGGATGACGTTAGAGGAGGAGATGGCAAGGAAGAAGGCAAGGGAGGACACAAGAGTACAGATGCAGGTCTTGAACGAGCATGTTGTTGCATTATGTGCCAGCTGAGTGCTTGAAACCTTTTTTTCGTTGCCTGATTTTTAATGCAATATAATCATGTTGCTAACTGATTGCATTTTATACATGTAGGGATTGGATGCAGCGAGGAACATGCCGCAGGCAGTGGCGGATGCACGATGTGGGATAAGGGGGGGCTAAAACAATGGAGATGTTGATTTGCATGAAGATTTAATGGTGAAATCAAGCTTTTGCTACAGTGATTAGGCTTGAAATCAAGACATTAGGGGGGCTGAGCCCCCCCAACCCCCCCTTTGGATCCGCCACTGGCCGTAGGGGTGGCTCGTGTAAGGAATGAGGAAAAGAAGTTAGATGAGCACAGATCGTGAGCTGGTCGCACCGTTCAATCATCGATTTGTCTGTTGAGGGGGACGAGGATGAGGACAACACTGGCAGACTGAGTGAGCTCATTGCTCTAGCAGAGGCAAGCTTGCAGGCGGAGGAGGCTGAGGACGACACTTGCAGACTGAGCGAGCTCATCGCTCTAGCAGAGGCGGGTTTACAAGCAGAGGAGGCGGAGGACGACACTGGCAGACTGAGCGAGCTCATCGCTCTAGCAGAGACGAGCTTGCAGGCGGAGGAGGATGACGACACGTTCTTCACTCAGGTCACAGAAGCCATAGATGAAGCGGAGGCCGCTTACTACACGCGACAGGCACGTCAGAGCAATGCAGGTGAGCCTAGCCACAACAACATGGTTATGGTAGAGGACTGGTACTCGGATGATGAGTTGCTTACTCAGTATATTTCAGACTAAGGATTTGAAAGTGCATTTGCCCTCTATATAGGTTTTGGTGTATTGATGACATCCAAATTAGGGATTAATGTGATCTTAATAAGATATGTCGCAGCTATTACTCATTATGCGCTCTTCAATGGTTTTATTTTTGTTTTTAAGTTTAGGATTCGTCGCACTATAAAGAAAGATGCAAACTTAGTTGGTCTGAGGAAGATATAGTGCTCAACCATAAAAATAAAATCAAAAGAGAGACACTCTAGCACTCCACAAGCACGTAGAATATTTTTTAGTGACTGTTGGTGTCGGAAGTCCCGACGTAAGCCGGAACTCCCGACAGTTGGAAGTCACGACTCATGCCGGAAGTCCTGACGTCCAGTCACTTAGCCTGCGCAGTGATTGTGGTCGTCGAAAGTCCTGACCCAAGTCTGTACGATACGATTGGACTATACACGTTCTAATGAATTTATATTTAATCTATGTACTAGATTTGAACCTTTTCAACACATAAAACACATGAAATGGCATGTGAGATCATGTACCGAACTAGGGTACAGAATTCCGGCGGGGGCGTGAGGCGGGCGCGGGGAACGGCGAGGGGACCGGCGCGGCGCGAGGAACAGCGAGAGGACCGGCGCGGCGCGGCGCCGGCGCGGGCGGCCGGATGCGGGAGAGGACGCAGGCGATGACGGCGGTTCGGCGCTCGGGCAAGGGAAAAGCGAGAGAGAGGAGAGAAAGGATTGGGGCCCATACGTAGGAAGGCTCGGCGCCAGTCACCCTGACGCCAAGCTCGGCGCCAAGATCTATGACGCCGAGCTTGGTGCCAGGGTGACTGTCGCCGAGGTTCTCGGCCATGTCACCGCCACATTGGATTCGAGCCCAATAACTCGGCGCCAGGGACGCTGGCGCCGAGCAATATAAGCTTGGCGCCAGCAATGATGGCGCCGAGCTAAGGGTCCAGATTTTGAAATCTTTCCTCCAGGGACATATTTGTGAAATTTTTTCAAAAAAGAGCTAAAAAATAAAAAATTCAGGAACGTCGATCACTCCGCTTGAGTGACTGTCATGTGGGACCTAGAACTCTGCGGCGCTTGGACCCCACCTCCCATGTATATCCTTCGCCAGCGGACCGTGCGATACGCCGGCAGATAGGCTAGTTCACGGGGCCCACAAGGTGGCCAGTTCAACATGTGGCTTGGACATCGTTGGACTGTCTCGTTTGTGGGCTTTCATTCTAATCTGCAGGCCGAGGAATATCACTCTGGAACAATGGTCTGAACCAGTAGTCATCGTAGTCTGCTTTTCCCCCCTTTTTATAACTCTAATAAAACCTGATATTTATTCCCTCCACACCAAATT